GTCTAACTCTTATCATAAAATTACTTTGATAAAAGTTAAATTCTCAAATGAATACAACTTGAGTTAAAGTACCTGACATTTACTAAAAGTAAATTTCTGACATAAAATGCTCTAAAAGGTAAAAATGTTGAGTAAAAATGAGTGGTTAAAATGTCCAAAATGACATTTACTGGGAGGTGGCCTCCACAGAAAACAGGTTTCTAGAGGCCATAATGAATATGTTGTGCTAAAATATCAATGTTGAAAATTATAGGATACACCTTTTTCAGCTGCATATACAGTATCTCTGAGTCTGACATGTCATCTTCATACTAGGCTACATCCATTCGATATGTCCTGCTGGAGTGTGACATGATTTGATCATATTAACCAATAGGGTGTCAGAATAGTTTATGTTTATACTTCTCATCCAACCACAGTTCAATTCACTCTTATCCAGGAGGTGCAGTTTATCTGGATAGTCAAAAAGAAAAAATAAGTAGGTCCTCTGGATGGGTTCTTCTTTAGTGAAACGTTTCGTCTCTCCTCCAAGAGACTTCTTCAGTCTGATGAGTTTCAGGTGAACTCAGCCTTATAAGCACTGCCTCCACGTGGTGAACAAAAGAGTGACCGCTGGCCTGTAGATGAGTGTAAACTGCAGAGTCCTGACCCGACGAAGTAGCTCATCTGTGCTGGCTCGTTCTTTTGAACAGTGGCTGTTTTGTTTCCCCAATGTGTGACTGATCACAGTCCTCCTGACACTTAACAGCATACACTATATTATTCTGTTTGTGAACTCCCTCTTTCAGGGATGAAGATGTTCTCATCCTTGATAAGAGAGGAACGTTGGTTTGAGAAAGGAGTATAGGAAGAAAAACCGTCCACCATTAAACAGAGGTGGGTGCCTTCGTGTCCAGTTGTCCTCCTCCTACAACACTGTTATTGCAAGTATGACTCAGCTCCCTGTGAGCAAAAGGTGTGAATCAGGGCCCCAAAGATAAACAACACAAAGAGGGGAAAACAAAAGGAGACGTTGAGCCCCGCTTGCGTTCACTACAAACACGACACGACACCTAAGAACCACAGCATCCAAACCAATAAGTCAGGTGATGGGCACATGACCCTCTATGAACAGTAGAGCTAATCAAGCCTATTGTTAGGCGATGGCCCTCTTTTGCATGTGACTAACCTGTTTGTCCAGGTGGAGGCAGTGCTTATAAGGCTGAGTTCACATGAAACTCCTCAGACTGAAGAAGTCTCTTGGAGGAGAGACRAAACATCATCTGGACAGGTTTTAATTTTTTTAACAAGCCAAAATAGGTGTAAACAACTTTCTGCTTCTTACCTTTTAAAAATACAAGGATTAGAAGTGAAAAGTTGACTCAAGTAAAGTTAACCAACGTTTCTACTTCAGTGCAGGAACAAAGTTTGTACTTTGCACCTCTGGTATGTTTTCCAAACAAAGCAACAGCCTGGAACTAAAAGTGGGACTTTTCCCCCACACCATGACTGTAACGAATGATGAGTTATCGCTGCATGTTTTGTTTGTTTAAAAGAGAAAACGAATCCCAAGMCAGACCTCTTTCATTCAGCTTTATTTTCCTTACTGTCACATTACATTACAAATCACATTTAAGCATCAGACATGGTCATCTATCTTTTCAAGCACGAGTCAAAGGCTTGACATTCACACAAATACTCCTTGAGTGCATCACTGCTCAGAAAGTGCTTCCTCCATGTGTGTGTGTGTGTGTGTGTGTGTGTGTGTGGGACCGCTGACTAAAAGCAGAAGCTGTGAGCCCACAAACGGGAAGGAAAAAAAAAAAATCATCTTGGCCTCCAGTGAAGACTTCGAGGCTGACGTCACGTTTCCCACAAAAGAAAAAAAAAACTCATCCTGAGTGTGGCGTCAGGCTGGAGATCAGCTTTACATCAGCCTCGAGTTTTTTTATTTATTTATTTATTTTTGGACACTGAGAAATGGAATCTAACAGATAAAAACCTTCAGTGTTGTATCTTGTAACACACACACGCACACACAAACGTGCACAAAAAGAAAAAAAAAATAAAGGGAAAACAATGAGCAATGCTAGACATGCAAACAATCTCAAACTCAATCGGACAGTCGATCGATGGGGGAAAAGTAAAAACAAAAACAAGTTGTTTCTTTCCCCCAACATCAGCCGGCGAAAACACAACACAGGAAATGGTCATCAAAAAGAGAGAGAGAGAGAGAGAGAGAGAGAGAGAGAGAGAGAGAGAGAGAGAGAGAGAGAGAGAGAGAATAAACAAAACGCCTGGGCAGACGATACAAGCACAGGAGCAGAGATGTGGAGCTGCCATTGCAATGCATAACATTTGATTCGGATCTATTAGGTTTGCTGCTGCTGCTGTTTTACACACAAAAAAAACTCAACATTCATAAAAGCAGCACATCAATTCGACATATTGAAGAAAAAGGCTTCTTTGATGCACATTTCAAGGGTTTAGTTTAGCTTAATATACTGGGTGAAGGCTTGGGTGGAACCACAGTGAAGCTGGAGAGCGCAAAGAACAGGGAGAAGAACCGCAGAGGTGAACAGGAAGCACGGGTGGGACGTTAAAAAGCACACCGTCTGTTGGAATGTGCAGAGCAGGAGAGAAAAAAAAAAACAGGATTCCCACTAAGTAACGACTTCTGTGGCGACCGAAGGTGAAAGGCTGTTCGACTGAGAAGTCACAAACATCCACGACGAGAAGAACGACACAAACTCGTATTTTTGGCGGGGGTTTGAAAGACGAACGGAAAGAGTGGGAGCGAGGATGTCACCGAAAAGCAGGAGCGTTCTTGTTCCGCTGTAATTAGTCGTCATTGCACAAAGATAGTAAAGCAATACTGCATGGTTGAGTTTATCCCATAGAGTTCAGTGTGGCGACAGCTGTCTGTGGCAAGAGATCAGAAACCAAACAAAGACACACTACAGCTTCTCAACAGGTCATACAAACTAGCCAGCAACTACAAAATATATATATAAACCAAAAAAAAAAAAAAAAGATTTTTAATAGGTTTTACATTCAACAAGTTGTCTTTTTCTCCCCTTTGCCTCTAAGCTACAATATACACTGAATCAGTTCACTATAGCTTCTCAATTGCTTTTTAAAAGATGAAAGAAAATATACTTGAGCAAAAGTAATGTAAAAAAAAGTTTCCTTTTCGTATAATAGTTTCAAACAAACATAAACAATATATGACAAAAAAAAGCCTGACAGATCTTTATCCTGCGTTATGTACAAGAAAAGCCCTGAAACTGCAAAACCTATCATCTGTGTGGGCCTGTTTCCCAGCACACCCACCTGCAGCGAACGTCCATCTACAGCCATTGTTTTTGCAGGTTCAAACGATAATGAAATGATCTGTGCACAAAAACAAATAAAAATTAAAAATTAAATCATGTTAAACCCACTTCTTTGTTTCTGTTTTGTTTTGTTTTTGTCTTTCCTGGTTACAGTGGCCCAAACTGCACCACAACAGAGCCTGAGGACCCGATCTTCACTCTCTGCCAGCAAAAACAACTCTGGTTTCTGACCCTGCTGGTGCTTCCACTGAGSAGGGAGACACCCAACGGCTGCTCGAAACTCAATCAATGACCAAAACCAAAAAGGTACAGGAATTAAAAGTGGTATCCAGCACTAATAACTGTGTATATGTGAAAAAACAAAAAAACAAAACAAAACAAAAAAAACAACAAAGAATACGATGCTTTTGTAAGAAAAGAAATCTTTACAGAATTACGTGTGTACAAAAAGTGTGGATATTTTAAAGAAAAAAAGAACTCCTGGCAACACAACACTTTTTAAAGCATCTTCTGTTATCGAGACGATAACGTGTAGCTACGTTCTGTAACCGGTGTTTCCCCATCGCTTCAACAACAAGGCCGGCCGGCGCTGCRTCCAGTCCTTGGCACTGATCCAAGGGAAGGCGGAGTGACGGACCACTGCTGAGTACCACGTTGTACTTCAGAGTACCACACACCAAGAACTCTCAGCACCACTGTGTGTAGCTGTTGGGATCACCCGCCCACAATGGGGGGCAAGAGGGGGAGCCCCTGAGAGGTTCCCGGCACCCCCCTATCCCTGACACCCCACATGTAATTCAACGTCCCTCCCACCCCCAACCTCTTTTATACACAAAAAACACCCTTTTTCGCTTAAAATTTTGTAAAGATAAAATGTTCTCGTATAAAAAAAAATGCTTTCACGCAGTGCAGCGTAGTGCAATATCATATAGTCAGTATACCTTTTCCTTCCTGCTTACGGGTTTTTATTGGCACTTGGTGAATTTGGTGACTGGAAGAGGCCTGCTGACCTAGCTTATCTGGAACACCGCTGAAATAAAAAAGAAACATCGCCGGCCTAACGTTTGTTTGGATTTGTCGACTTTGCGCGTCGGCTTCCAGCGAGAAGCGACGGCTCGTCGACTACACGACGGGCGGCAAATGTGACCCTGTGGAGAAAAGAATAATTAATTAAAAAGCCACAGGTGTTTGTACGACGACAGAGGTTTGAAGTCAGTTGAGACGTATTGTCGTAGAGGGAAGTACGGGCGCTCTGTCATACACTGCTACTTAGATCAGGTCAAATGTACAGCACTGGTCTGAATCTCATCAAAAATATATACATCTATAGTACTGACTGCATCTCAGAAAATCACTAAAAAAAGTTGTTTCTATTTAATGCTTGATTCGAGGTCTTATGGGCGTTAGAATTTGACTCATCTGTGATTTTTGGGCTCTAGAAAACAAACTGAAGCATGGAGTTTCTTGGAAGTAGGTAATCACGTAAGAAACATGATTTGTGTACGTAATTTAACATATAGTTGAGTCATTGCTGAGGAGCTAAATAGCACCTAAATATTACTTAAAAAGGAGAGAGGGAGAGAGAAAAAAACACTAATAATAAAACTGTCCGGGATCTCTTAACCTCTACATTAACGTCTGTTAGATTTTTACCGTTAATACCGGTATTTAGATCGTCACTGAGTTGTCCATCCGTATTGTGCCAGTTAAGTGCTTTTCACTTTAAACATTTTACAATTTAAGAATGGTAACTTTTAAAGAGGGGACAGCTTATTCATTTAAATTTATTTTTCTTTCTGTAACTGAATCAATAAAGAGAATAGCCAATATAGCCAAAGACATTTTTGAAAGGGATATATTACATAATAAGGTCTCTAAATACTACCACATATAGTTTATTTACAACTTGTAAACTTTGGCCTCCTTTTTTTGGCCTTTCTATAAAATAAWTTTTTCTCAACGGCCTTATTCCACGATGTAAGATGTAAGACTCCATTTGTTTAGAAATCTTGGCTACTCTCAGAGTCAGTCAGTGCACGGCTCACTGCAAAGACTCGATTCGATTGATTTGCTTTCCTCTGATGCACTAGAGTGAAATATCACTTTCAAGGGTTGAGCAGGTAAAGCATCTTGGGCCCTGTGCAGTTCCTATTATTTACACACATGTTTAATAATAGGGAGTATTCCAAACATGGCGATGCAACGTCTCCATTTAAAAACAGTAAAAATGATCATATCCGATTTGTTGGGATGCAAACTGGGCGTTATCTTCTTACACGTGATTATCATCAGTCAAACGGTCAAGTTAGAATTGGAAAGGCCAGTTAGAATTCACAAATTGTGGCAATCTTTTTAAGAACATTAGCTGAAAAAAAACAAAAAACAAATTCTGCTTCAACTTATCAATGACRACTAAGCAAGAAATAAAATATTAAATGCTGTCATTCCTCTGATTGCACAATGCTAATGCAAGTTGATTCAGCTAATTATTGCTGAAAATAAACTATATTAATGAAATAGATATCTGCTTTCATATGCATATATAGATTACAGTGATCTGTGGGGGGTGGGGGGGGCAGGCATATATGAGAATATGGGGGCTTATATATATATATGTTTTTTTAATTAAACTGTAGATTTCTCTGAATGTTTTTGGAACGTCAAAGGGAAACTTTTTGTACCATTTGTTCTGGTTTAATGCAGCTTTGTGAACGTGAAACAACTGTGGCAGGCGGTTCTGGATTAGCATGAAGAAGTTGYTTGTGTGCTCCGAGTCGCAGACAGTCTGTATCCAGTAAGACTGCAGGAGACACCCAAACGTTTGGCTATGAGACTGTAAGGTCAAAACCTTTGTTTTTTTTTCTTTTCTTTTTTTGCATTTGGTAAATTTGATGAAGTCCCTCAACGAGCGGCAATGAGAAACAGATCCGCTGCAGCGGAATAACCGAGCACATCCAACGTTAACGTTGAACCTCCAGGAAAGCATCACGACCTGCCACACAAAAAGTAGCTTCCATGATGCTTTTACACCAAACAGAGCGTATCAAAAAGCTTATCAGCAGCCTTCGAACGCTGCTTTGAGTCGAAGCAGGTGAAAAATAAAAAGAATCTGATCAGAAGGTTCACAACCTAAATCTTTTGTCGTTTTTCCTTATTTTGTTGAGTGGAAAATGTCTCAGTCGTAGAAAAAAAGTCTCCAGACCTGCATAAGGTTTTTGTTTTGTTTTTTTTACACACCAGTTTTTATGCTGGTTGGAAACAACAACAAGAAGAAAAAAGAAAAATCAGGCAATCCCCCCGCTCTCCCTGCTGGCCCAGAAGAAGCATCGCCTCCTCGTGGGAAGAGTTGGCCTCGCCGCCGCGCCGAGGAGCTCGCCTCGGATTAGTCGGTGAATCTCTGGCAGGCTTTCTTCCAGCGACAGGCTGTGCACCACATGTCCCTCTTCTCCATGCCGTACACCTTTCGGCACTTCTTAGCCTCCCCGCGGGGTTTCCTTGGTAACAGCAGATGTGACAGCGTCAGGACAAACGCACACACAGACATCCGGAGACTCACAGGTGGGCAGAAAACACAACAAACTGTGCACGCTGTTATCGGAGGGAGCTAAAAGTTTACGTGTGAGGGAAGGAAGGATTAGAACTGAAGGATTTCTTTAAAATACACTAAAGAAACAACATGTTAACAACAAAAATTGAGAAAAAAATCTATTTTTTTAAATTGCTGTAACTTGGTATTTCTGGGTTTGAGCTGAACCTTTTAGAGTTTTTTTCCTTATACTTGAATTGATTTATTTTAATTAGGCTGGCCAGAATTATTTTTCCTAATAACTGTTTTTCATTAAATGAATGCAGGTACAGGTATGTTTCAGTAAAATCAAAGAGATTATTCCTATTTTTTGATGCAGTGCTTTGTGTTTCTAGTGCCAGCTTGTTGAATGAAGGTTAACAAATAAAAGCTACACATGTGATTTTTTTTAAACACATTTTACCAAACTGGGGTTCTCAAGCCATTTGGGTCTGGGGACCTCTTACAAGGGCGAAAAAAATTCCAGGGACCCCCTCATAAACCCCAATCTGTTTTAAAAGATAATTTATTATCATTTCAACCCCTAAATGCCATGGAAATTTATATATTTGTTAAGTTTATTGGGTTTATTTTATTAGGTAATTGTTCTCCATGCATTTTAAAAAATAAAAACCAAATTAACAATTTATTGACATTTTTTGAGGACCCCCAAGATACCTCTCGCGGACCCCTGGGGGTCCTGGGACGCCAGTTTGAGAACCTCTGCATTAAACCATAATTGATTATGAAATCTGAAAGTAATCATTATGACTGTGGAAATTTTCCTTTTTTATTTTTTTTTAATTTACCAATCAACAACAAGTCATTTAACAAAGTTTAAACTAATGTATTAATGTTGTACAAACACAAGTCAATCTAAAAATAATAGTTTTTGAGTGTAGTGATCACTCGGTTGCGTTTTGAAGCTGGTATTTCTGAAGAAAACCAGAACAATCCCAGTTCCGTCAGGCAAACAGCTGATGCGTACCTGGTTCCTGGTGTTGCTTTAGCTGCCGGCGTTATTACAGCGTGGTTCTTGTTAACAGTGGTGTGTGTGCTGGCTGCTGGCTGCCGTTTTTCACCAATGCTAACGGTGCGAACATGAGCCACGGGACCCTGCAGAGGTAGGAAAACATACCCGTGTCAATATTATACTGATGCAGACAAAAACTCAGCCTCTGGTCAACACAAAACACAATAACACCAGCTCCAGTACAAACACACACAACCTAAATTTGTTTCTGTAAGAAGTTCTTAAAATTATGATTATTAAACTGTTTTTTTTTTTTTCAACTGAGAGAATTTGGACTGAAATGAAAAGGTCAGCTCAGTATTTAAATGTTTTTTTCTTGTTATTATTCCTATTTCTTAGATTCTTGAACTTCGGGTCATTTAAATAATGAGCAAAGAAAATACTGCATTATGCATTTGTATGCAAACATCGAATGAAAAATCTTACTGACTTTTGAAGGTTAAAAAGTAAAAACAAGGCCTGGAGGTGACAGGTCAACCCCTGAATACTTTTCTTGTTTCATCAAACTTAAAATTTACTTCATTAGAACAACAGTTTTTTTTTGCAAACATTTTGCCATGCTGCTAAATGTTCTGGTTCATTTTATGGTTTAATTTGATCCCAGCAGCTTCTAATGCAGTCAGTCAAGTTATCACATTYACACAAATCACTTCCAACTTTGCATTGCTGCGGTTTTCATGTATGCCCTACAGGTTGTTACACAACAACCCAACAGTGACATAATTAGCGTTGTAATGTTAGGTTTATGTCAACTTAATTCATGCATAACTCTTTATATTACTTAGAAGTCATACTAGAGTGAGAATCTCTATAAATCCACAGTGTTTGTATTTATTTTGCACATCTGGTTGATCAGTGACATTACCTAATCATTGTTGTCTGATTATTTCTGATCTGATTTATGATGCAATATTTCAGGATTGTTAGAATTAGCATTTTTTAAGTTCTTCATAAAAACACTACATTGTAGGTATATATGTTTTTTAAGAATATTTTTTGTAAAAGCTTTGGCAGCAAAACTTCTCAGACTTATCATATAAGTATTCATCAGACCAAACTCACCTTTTCCTTTCTTGTAAAGCACTTTGTATATTTGTGCGTGCAGGAAAACAAAGCTAGATTTTATGTTTGCAGAATTATTTAACCTTTCCAGCTAAACTGTACTAAAGAAAGAAAACCTGACACCTCTCTGTTTAAAAGAATTATGGTGTTAAAAGCTACGAGGAGGGAAAAACAAAGTGTTGCAAAGAAAAAAAAAGCTTAAATGGCTGTGAGTGGAAACAGCATGAAAGAAGTGAAGATTGAGAGTTAGCAAAATAAAAAAGGCGTGAGACAAAGCCTCACTCACCGGGACGCCTTTAAAAATGACAGGAGGGGACTGCCAAGACACACTGATGCCATTCCCAGCCCCAGTTCCAGGCCCGATCCCATTACCACTGCCTATCCCAGCCAGCTCAGGACCCACTGGGATACTCACTGGAGCGGTGGCCTGGAACATGGACAACCACCCCACACAGCCAGGAGGGGACCCAACGAAAAACAGGGAGGGACAGGAAATTTGCAGAAGGTAGGAGACAAAGAGAAGAATACAACAGAAACAGATATGAACAGTTAGTAAGGAGACAAATTGAAAAGTGCTTTTTAAATTACCGTAGATTTTTTCTATAGGAAATATATGATTAAAAATCAAAACAGTCGATAAAGAAAACACGCTGAGCAACATGATACAACAAAGGGAAAAAAATTAAACAAGAAATGGTTACAAAATAAGCTGCATTTGCCCACTGCACATCTATTTTTACGTGTATCTTATATTGTCATGGCAACTGAAAGTTCAGGRTTAGTCCAAAACCCCCTGCAAATGACTTCATTCAATGTGAATAATTTTTAAGAAAATGTGTTGTTGCTTTAAAGAACAAAAAACCTGAAATCATTGAATTTTACTTCCAGCCACATRTATAAACAATGGATGTGCATGAACYGGTGCGGTAAGGAAGAAGTGGAAGCAAAAGAGGAAGAATGAGGAGGAGGAGGAGAGGCAGGGATGGGGCTTCCAAACCCARTTAACACAAAACGGTTCAAGTGAGGTGGTGTGAGTGGGAACTTCAGCATAATCACACCACATAACCAAAACTTTTCTAGCCTCAAATCATTGATAAAACTGTAAAAAAAAATAATAATAATAATAAAAAAACATGAA